TAATTATAATAATAATGATAATAAAGAATGAGAGGCTCCAGAGAAGCCGCAAACTTGTATAAGGTAGGAATAAATTATTTCTCTGTAGAGAAAAGGGTAGGGAATTAATAAAAGTGATGTCCATTTCACTCTTTTCTTCTTCCACCCTTCCATTTCTTCTTACTGCTCCTCCTTCCCTTGTAAGACCATCCATTTTCTCCCCTTCCTAGTGATTCTGTCAGGCAACAAAAAGCCACTTTCTTGACCGACAGATGCCAATTCATCTCCCTCTCTAGGTGGGCATTATGAAGACGGTGTCTCTCGGCCCCTCCTGCAAGGTCTCTTGGCCCAGCCTGCACCCACCGTGCCAGGGCCGCGCTGGAGCACTGCACTGGCTGCCGCGCCACCCACCACGCCAGCTTCCTCTAGAGAGAACTCTAAGAGATGCCCGATGGCTTCCAGAATTACATGTAGAAATACACCCGTGTCTGTCTCCTCGTCCCCAGGTCCTCTGTGAGAGACTGCAAAAACATTTAAGAGAAAAGCTAGCCTTTAAGATTTATTTACTTACGAACTAGTTTCTGCCTCAAGCAGAGGAACTGTGTATTGACATAACTACTTTGCAGTCATGGGTGGGATATATGATATCGACATGCCAACTTGGTATTTTGGGGGGGAAAAAAAAAAAAAATGCACAATTGGCTAGGATTTTTTCTCCCCCTGCCTTTGTTTTCCAAGTCTTCAAATTTGCAAGCGAACTCCAACATGGAAAAGAATTGGTCGGTCATTTACTAAATCCTGCCAGACATTTGGCAGCTGTTAAAATTCCTGGGGGCAGTGGGGGAGGGAACAAAGCAATAGGCCACGGGGCTCCGTGCTGCAAAATCCCTTCAGGCAAGCGATCACCGAATGATGAGCTGGAACATAACATTGTCGTAATATTTTCAATAGGACGATCCCATTTTCTATTAAAATCTTTCTTTGGTAACTGCCCGCTGATAGGGCAATGTTTTACTCTTTCCTTCTCTGTACCTTTATAGACAATGAACATAATTACTCGCATTATCACTGGCTAGTAAAACTATCTGACTAAATGGAAACCCTCTCCTTCATTGGCAATGTTTATCTGTTTCAGACTTAAGCGGTGCAAGGACCGAAATGCCCACTGCCTATAGGACAGGCACACTAATTATTTCAGGTTAAGTCCCGTGTATCAAATACTTCAGCGTGCTGTCCGTGTGGCTTTAACCCCACAGCCCTCTCGGTAAATGCATGGCACTTGCTTCTCCTTTGCTAAAAGATCTCTCTGATGTAAGACAGAGACAGCACCAGCTACCTTGGAGCTGCTGACACGCTGGAAGTTCATAACCCAGCCCATACCTTCACACTGCTGTCTGCATAGCTGGAGCCCTCAAAAAACAGCTGCACAAGTCGAAACGGTTGTTTCGGCTCATCTGAAATTCCTTCTGATCACAACCAACACCATCCCTCCCTGTAGAAATAGGCTCACAGGGCAGAGACTTGCCTCTCCGGCAGCAGCAGAAAGCCTGGTCGTGACTGAAAGGGGATGTAAACGTAACAGTGGGCATACAGCCCTTATGCACAAGCTGATGCTGGTTCAGTAGATAAAATCCTTCTGAAAGTATTCAAATAATGTATTCAAGTTGGAAGAAACTACCAGGAGGACTGAGTCATACTACTTGGAGGTCACCCGCAAGGCTACTGAATGACAGAACACCAGAAGGACGCTGTGCCAACACCCAAGCAACAGCCAGGCGAGCGCTCCGGGTCCCGAGCATGCCTGGGTGTCTCCCCGCTTAGCATCAAGCTAAGCAGGGTACTGACCCTCCAGCATGCTGGCAGGCAGCAGAAGGGAGGCGCAGGGCACGTGAAACCCGATCGGCAGTGTTAGCTCTGGTCAGCTAGCATGCTGCTGCCTTCTGCGCAAGCTGAAGGGTCGGGGAGCTCAGCCCCAACAGAAACCAGGTTGCTATTTTTGGCTTCTACATGCAGTCACTCCGACTGAAAAAAATGGTTAACAGAAATCTGCTTTGAAGCCTTAGCGCTTCCGCCTGAGTATAACAATGCTCATTACTCCCATCCCGATTTTTACAAACCTCTTTCCTGCCAAGGCAGAAGGACAGACAGACATACAGATGCTGGTTTAAATTACAATATGCTCTCTCCTGATACATAATACATACATAGACAGAAATAAATGATCTCATACATCTTCAACGAGCTCACAGAGACCTTGAAGTACATAGCAAGCTAAATATTACGTATGTTAAGATTAGCCATCTCTGAGTGATTTTATCGGTTATGGGTGAAAAGTAAGCGATGGGATGAAACGTCGTATTGAGGTGCAGCCGTCCGCTGCCATCCTCACCAGCCCCACTGGGCCCCGAGTCTGACCTCCTTGTAGGCTCAGTACTTTCCCCATTGCCTGAGCTCCCCAGGAAGGCTGCAGCCCTGATCTCTCACCTCACGACTGTTGTGCTATCGGCTAACCCTGCCACCACACTGCTTGGGGGCTG